AAAAAAAAAAAAAAAAAAGATAAGAGTATGTAAAATTTTCTACTTGTAGCAGTAGGAGTTCAAGCATATGATTTTATTTTACTTAATGAGAGTTATAATTATTAGACGAAATAAAATGAAAATTTTTTTTGGCATTTTGATTTAGAATTTATCAAATTTATAAATTGTGGAAAATTAATATCTTCATATAATTCTATTCATCATAAACATAGTGTATTGCTTCAGTCTTTTCTGTACTTATATATTTTATCATGTATATTTTTGTTAGATTTTTCTGCATTTTAAAGCTTTTTATTCCTAAGTACTTTCTAGATTTGTTATTATGATCATACAGGCATTTTCTTGTTATATTTTCTAGTTGGTTATTGCTAATGTAACAAAATGCTGTTCCTCATTGATTTGTTTAAAACTGCTACCCTGTTGATTTTTCATACTGATTCTCATGGTTTCTTGTTTTGTTTTGTTTTTTTCCTTAGAAAGAAACATTTAATAGGGACTTACCAACAGAAGCCATGTCTGTGTCTTGGGCTGCGGCAAGACAAGATGGTGGATCCCTGCACCATTCCCCCCAGGCCCAGGGCTTATATACCATAGGGGGGGTGGTTCAGAAGGGATGTGTAGGACAATTGAAGTACTGTAACATCAAGGTCGTTTGACCTGACGTTGTGGTAAGTACCTGCCCTTACACAAGGAACAACAGATAAACTGGAAATCTTAGAGGCCCTCCCAGACGGGTTAATCAGAAGCCCACATGGTAGATTAGCTTCCAAGGTGACCTTGCTTTGGCCTTCACACTTCACCACCCAGTCCAGCTTTGATATCTATGCGCCCTCCTCTGAAACTTTAGGGAGGATGCTTGACATTGCATAGCTTTAGCAGCAGTGCATTGGCAATGGGAGACAGATCAGGCTCAGGAGGATTCCAAATTAAGGAGATTCACAGGCTGTTGAATCATGTCTAGTCTTCCGAGTACTATGACTTTGGTTTTCTCAGAAGTAAAACAATGACAGGTACATAATATTAATTATTTGAATAGTAAAAATATAATACACTCAAGGATTACAATCGAGAGAACGTTGATTGTGCCTGAACAACAACAAAGAATCCATTTCGTTAAGGGGCCGACTAAAAGTACCCTGAAGCAAATGAAAACCTGGTTCCTCTTTAGGGACTTCTTGTAGCCAGGAAATAATTCAGAATTAGCCCAAATTGTAGGCAGATAATAAAAACTCAGAACAGTGGTCAGGGTTAGAATCTAAGTTTTTCTCTCTCCAGTTTCCCTACTTCTACCAAGAATAAATCATAGTAGGACCAATTGAATGGCAAAATTTTGGTCTCATTATATTTGGCCTGGTTATTTGCATAAAGTATAGCAAGTATAGTGACCAGCCATGTAAGCTCCTTTTAAGTTGACTTTGCTGAACCTTTTTTTTTTTTTTTCTTTTTTGAGATGTACTCTCGCTCTGTTGCCCAGGCTGGAGTGCAGTGGCCTGATCTCAGCTCACTGTGACCTCTACCTCCCAGGTTCAAGACATTCACTTGCCTCAGCCTCTTGAGTAGCTGGGATTACAGGTGTGCACCACAACACCTGGCTAATTTTTTTATTTTAAGTAGAGATGGGGTTTCACCATGTTGGTCAGGCTGGTCTGGAATTCCTGACCTCGTGATCTGGCTGCCTTGGCCTCTCAAAGTGTTGGGATTATAGGCGTGAGCCACCATGCGCAGCCTTGCTGGAACTTTTTAAAGGAATTTTGGATTTGACTTTTTATTGTATTTATTTATTTATTTAGAGACCGAGTCTCACTCTTTCGTCCAGGCTGGAGTGCAATGGTGTGATCTTGGCTCACTACAACCTCTACCTCATGGGTTCAAGCAATTCTCCTGCCTCAGCCTCCTGAGTAGCTGGGATTACAAGCGTGTGTTACCCAGCTAATTTTTTGTATTTTTAATAGAGATGGGGTTTGACCATGTTGACCAGGCTGGTCTCAAACTCCAGACCTCAGGTGGTCTTCCTGCCTCGGCCTCCCAAAGTGCTGGGATTACAGGCATGAGCCAGCACGCCAGGCCTGGATTTGACATTTTGAAAGCTTAGAAGGCCAAAAGCTAAGCCGAGGATTTGCCACTTGACTGTACTTGTAACGCTTGTATGAATTCCTATCTTATTTGATATCCAAAAATACTTAAAAGTTCATGAGCCTTCTAGAAAGTGACATTCTTTACTTACCACAGGTCTGGAGCATGTAAGGTGGACATGGTACCAGGTCAGTCTTTTCAAGGGGCTTTTTATCAGTTCTATAAAGCCAATCGAAATTTCTCAGAACAGTCTGGTTATATCTGAAAATATACCATTCCATTTGAAGCCTTGATAAAATAACCAGTCTTTCCAGTTGTATCCTTTTACAAAAGAAAACATATTTTTACTGAACTTATGCAAATAACTGTTGCCATAAAATCAGAATACTCACAAATAGTTTCCAAATTTTGGAAAAATCAGGTAGAGAGAAAGGTAAATTTCGCTCACAAAAACATACTTTACCCAGTTGCTCTAAGCTATAAATAACTCAGAAAGATTTTCTTGACTCTTCTTTAATCAGAGCAGCAGGCTTCCAAACAAGATGTCATTTGTTCACCTTGGAACTGCCGCAGTTCACAAATCAAGCAGCTTTTTGTCAGTCAGGTGAGAGCTGTTTACCGGGAACTGTAGAATCCAACAGCTGTTTACACAGTTCCAGAGTCAGTGGAACGGAAGCCGTGTCTGTGTCTCAGGCAGCTGCAAGACAAGATGGTGGATCTCCACCAGTTCTCATTTTATCTCCGCTGGTTGTCTTAGTTTTACAATCAGACAACCAGATATTTACAAATAATGACAATAGTTTTTCTTCCTTGTTGAGTGCCTATTACTGGCACTTTGCTCCTAGTTTGGCAGGTCCTCTAGGACAGGGCTGGCTAGTGGCATTGATTTCAGCATCCTTGTCTTCTGTTTTTAAAGGGAATGGTTTTAATGGTTCACACAAAATATGATATTTTCTATAGGTATAGGGAAGAAACACTTTATAGTGTAAAGGAAATTCCTTTTACTTTTAGTTTGCTTTAAATTCTGATTTTTGAAAGTGTTGAATTTTTTTTTTTTTTTTTTTGAAGGGGAGTCTTGCTCTTGTTGCCCAGGCTGGAGTGCAGTGGTATGATCTCGGCTACTGCAGCCTCCACCTCCTGGGTTCAAGCGATTCTCCTGCCTTAGCCTCCTGCTACCATGCCCAGCTAATTTCTTTTTATTTAGTAGAGATGGGGTTTCATCATGTTGGTCAGACTGGTCTCGATCTCCTGGCCTCAAATGATCCGCCCGCCTTGGTCTCCCAAAGTGCTGGGATTACAGGCATGAGCGACTGCACCCAGCCAAAAGTGTTGAGTTTTATCATGTTCCTTTTGTTGTGTTTATTGAGATGATTGGGTATTCTCCACTAAGGTGCTAATGTGACTTATTTTATTACTTTTTGTTTTTGAAAAATGTGGACTATCCTTTAATTCATTGGATAAACTCTTGGTCTGGTTTACTAGGTATGTATGCACATAGACACGCTCTGTATATATGTACAGAATTAGTTTTCCTTTACTAATATTTTTAAGTATTTTAATCAATGTTAATCATAAATGCGGTTAGACTACAGCTTGTGCTGTCCTTATTTTGTCTGTAGCGTTGTGCAACTTTGTATGATGCATTGTACGGCTTTACATCAGACGATATATACTGGGAACTTTCCGTTCCTTGGGTAGTGTTAGAACTTTTAATAGTGTGGGACTGTTGTCTTTTTGGGAAGAGTGTGCCTTTTCAGTTTTTTAAATGATCATCGGCTAGTCTATTTTTCCCAATTATTTTTTTTTTTTTTGAGATGGGGTCTCACTCTGTCATCCAGGCTGGAGTGCAGTGGCGTGATCTCTGCTCATTGCAACCTCCGCATCCCAGGCTCAAGCAGTCCTCCCACATCAGCCTCTCGAGTAGCTGGGACTACAGGTGTGTGCCAGCATTCCCGGCTAACTTTTATATTTTTTTATAGAGATGGGTTTTCAGCATGTTGCCCAGGCTGGTCTTGAAGTCCTGGACTCAAGTGATCCACCCATTTCTGCTTCCCAGAGTACTGGGATTACAGGCATCAGCCACCATGTCGTGGCCTGGTTTTCCTAATTCTTGCTGGGCTAATTTTTGGTTACTTTTATTTTCGTAGAAAAATTTCCATTTTGTCTAAGTTTTCCAATTGATTGAAGCAAAGTTGTAAATACAGTCAGTTCTGCTATTTTGTTTGCTTTGACAACATGAATTTGCTTCCACACTATTGTTATTTTAAGGAACAATGTGAGCTTTCTGTCTGATTTCTTTCTGATTTCTGTCTCTTTCCACCACTACGTAATAACTTTGGTCATGTTTATATGTTTGTCAACCATTTAGCATGTATGAAACTGCTACTGTTTTTATCAGGTTCTAGGTTTTCTTTTTGTGTGTTGCTGGAATTTTGTATTTACCCCATTTTTCCCATAAGCCCGTGGTTCTTTATGCAACTTTGTATGGTGTGATTTTTTTGCAGCATATATATCCCATTACAGTAGAACTGTTTATCATAATCTCTTGTGAAATTTCAAATCTCTTAGAGTTTTGGACTGCTTCCTGGTCACAGAATTTTCTTTTGATCATGCCAAGTCAATTCAAAATTTTAACAGTTATTTTATATTTAATTTATTAATTAATTTATTTATTTTGAGATGGAGTCTTTCTTGCTCTGTCGCCCAGGCTGGAGTGCAGTGGCACGATCTCAGTTACTGCAACCTCCACCTCCTGGGTCCAAGCGATTCTCCTGCCTCAGCCTCTCGAGTAGTAGGTTCTACAGGTGTGTGCTTCCATACCTGGCAGATTTTTGTGTTTTTAGTAGGACGGGGTTTTGCCATGTCGGCCAGGCTGGTCTTGAACTCCGGACTGCAGGTGATTCACCCGCCTCGGCCTCTCAGAGTGCTGGGATTACAGGCATGAACCACCTTGCCCGGACTATTTGTATTCTTACCAAGCTTAAAGAAATAGTATAAGACTTTAAATAAAATAGACAGGAAACCTCCTGGTCACCTGCTGTGTGCTCTGCACCTTTCCTTTTCCATCCTGTGTCCCCAGAAGCAGCTGCTTTGGGCTGCGTTTCCTTCTCTGGCGTCCATCCCAGCTTCTCATCTGGCCACATTGGCGTGACTTGTTTCATGTTTCTTCTCCCTCCATTTTAAAGTAACCAGCTTGATGAATGGCCTGAACTTGGTACAAGTTGTGGCTTCATTTTTCTCCACCACACCTCAGGCTTGCACCATCAGCTCTTTCTTCCCTTGTGGTCATCGTAAGGAGAGCCCACGATGCTCTGGTCACGGCCTGTTTGTTGCTAACTCTCAGTTACTTTCGTATGGGAAAGTTCAGTCCACACTCCAGGCTCTTGTACCTCCCCCTCATTCTAGCCTGCGGAGGGGAGATGGAGGAGGCCTGTCTTTATTCCCACTCATTTCCTTGTTGCCCTCTGGTGGGGGCTCCTTCTGGGTTGATAGGAAGATCAGTGATTAGAGGGAAGGACACAAAGGCTCCTGCGGTGTGATGGTCAGTACCCAGTGTTATGACAGGCTTCTGTGGGGATCGTGGGACCTGGTTAGAGCCTCTGGCAGGATTTTGCTCGCAGTTCCATGACGTATGTGATTCTTTCTCTCACCGCTTGCAGACTTACCCAGAAGTCCACTCACCGCCTCTTCCCCTGGGATCTACCTCCTTGCAGGTAGTGCTGCTGAGGAGGAGCCTGCTAATGAGCTCAAGTCTCAAGTTCAGGAATCTTGGGGGTATTCCCTGGCCCCAGGGAAACAGTGCCCTGCCTGAGGTGAGCTGCTGAGCCCTCACTCCCCAGCTGCCTTTTAAAGTCCCCCTGTAGTCTCTGCCTTCGAATTTTTCAGAGGAAAGCAGTTATGGATCCTTGTTTACTTAAATTCTTAAGCACATGTCAGTTCCTTCTGAAAATTTCCCAGAATTAGCCTTGGCCGATGGGCTCTTGCAGACATCCAGGTTGTGTATAGGGTGCTTATACAGTCCCCTTTTCCTGGAGCCCCTCCTGTTTGAGAGGATGGATACCCGCTTCCTTTTCTTACCACATGTTCTTAACAAGGTCACTTTGCTCCTTCAGTGACTTAGTTCTGTGGACTCTTTTCTAGCTGGGTCTCCGCCATCTTCAGTCATTCACTGAACAGTTATCCACTCTCGTTTCCTCCCCTTCTCATTCCCAGGCGTCTTCACCTCCATGATGGGGAAGTGCTTTAACTTGCTTGGCCAGTTGCTTGGTGTCCTCCTGGCCCCCGTTCTCTCTCAGCATGCCATGCCATGTCTCCATCAGGTTGTGTTCTGGCTCTGTCCTCATGGATGCCCAGAATCTACCACTGCTTATCATCCCCATCGCTGTCACTTTGGCCCAAGCTACCTTCTTCCACTGGACTAACGCAGTTGTCCCTTACCTGGTCTCCCTGGTATCTCCTCTTCCACAGCCCCTCCCTCTTTCATGGCAGTCAGGATGATCTCGAAATGTGAGTCAGAGCCCTTTCAGTGGCTTCTCACAGCACTTTGGTTTCTGTCTAGATATCACCTCATCAGAGAGCTGCCCTGATCACCCTGTGTGTGTGAAACAGTACCTGTGCCTCCCTCTGTCCCATCACTCTGTCCCTTATCCCTTTTACCTGCTTGGATTTTTATTTTTTTTTAGATGGAGTCTTACTGTGTTGCCCAGGCTGGAGTGCAGTGGTGCGATCTCCGCTCACTGCAACCTCTGCCTCCTGGGTTCAAGCGATTCTCCGGCCTCAGCCTCCCAGGTAGCTGGGGTTACAGGCATGCACCAGCATGCCAGGCTAATTTTTGTATTTTTAGCAGAGACGGGGTTTCTCCATGTTGGCCAGGCTGGTCTCTAACTCCTGAACTCAGGTGATCTGCCACCTTGGCCTCCCAAAGTGCTGGGACTACAGGCTAAGCCACCATGCATAGCCTGGATTTTGTTAAGAGTGCCTAGCACCACTGGCATGTTAAGTGGTGGTGTGTTGGCTGAGTATCACCCTCCCCGGAGGCCCTAGGTAGGTGGGACCTGGGAGCCTAATTCGTATACTGCTTTTAGCTGTTTTCAGTTCACACCTCATTCTTGTTTTGCAGGATGACTGCTCCCAAAGCTATTGAGGCTTCTGTGGGAGAGATGGTTTGCTGTGCGTCAGCTTACCTCTGGGAGAGTTTCGGCTCAGGGAAGTCAGTTACCAGATTTTTGGCTTCTGCTTATTAAAAATTTATCAAAATATCATATTGGCTTCTATTTATGTGGTTCCCTTTTCTTTAAGAGGTCTGTTTGTGCATACTATATTTCTGTAATGTAGTTTAAATGGGTCTCAGAAGAGGATACTGATAATCATGTCTAAATCTCTCCATTCTCTCTGTTCCTACTTTGAAATCACATTTAGTCTCCATCTCAACCTCCCTAATGGGCATAAATCTTACAGTGTTGTAGGTGTTTTGATTTTTTTTTTTTTCCAGAAGTCATTAACAGTTGTAGGTGTTTTGATTTGTGAAATTAGATATTGTAGAAAAACCATCTAGCATAGAGGAATAGTGGCTGTTACTCTGCATAGCAGTTGAGTACTACTGAGCCAGGAGGAGCAGCAGGCTGCATGGAGGGGCCTGGGCATGAGGAGTCTTTGGCTGTAGTGAGACCCTCATGCTACTTGGGATACATAAGAAATGCCCTTAGTTTCAGTCCCTTGAGCTAAACTGTTATAAGAATGCAATTATTTTGTGCTAATTCTGTGAGTATCAGCTTTCATTTATTTAGCATTTACCTGATATGTTTTTTCATTTCTTTATTTTCTAATTTGTATTTTTTCTTTGGTGTATCTCATGAGTTTCACACTGTCTTAGTTATGTTTTCAGTATGTTTCTTCTAACAACATAGTGCTGTGTTTATCTCATGTATATATCTCGCGTGTTTTTCTTGCTTATGAGCTGTAATGAGTGATCACAGCATTTTGAATTATTGCTGCTATCATGTTGTGTGTTGTGCATTTTCCATGCCATCTTGTGCTTTCTAATTGACTTGGATTTGTTGAACTGAATATGTTCTTTCTCAGTGTGTTTTTCTTCTACTGTTTTGGAAGTCATTCTTACCTTCTTCCTTACTCCCTCCCTACATTTTTAGTGCTTGACTGCTTTTAGGTTGTTCACAGGCACACTGAGCTTTCCCCTTTAAACCAAAGTCTAAACAGTTGTATTTTCTCTTTTCCCAAATGAAAGATGTTTCTTTATACCTTCATTTTCTATGATTCTCATCTGTTTGCATCACATACATGCTTAAATCATAGCTGATTACAATTTTAGTTCTGATATGTTTGAAGCAGTATTTAGGTTTTTGTTCTGCTGATTTCAGTGCTCAGCATTGTATCCAGCTTCCCACTAAATCTGTGTCTTAATGTAGTTCCTATAGGATGTAATTTTTTAAATTTAAAACAATTGTTTAATTTTTTTTAGAGACAGAGTCCGGTTCCGTTGCCGAGTGTAAAGTGCAGTGGCACAATCATGGCTAACTACAGCCTCACACTTCTGTGCTCAAACAACCCTTCCACCTCAGCCTCCTGAGTAGCTGGGACTACAGGCATGCACCACCATGCCCACAAATTTTTTGTTATTTGTAGAGATGTGGTCTAACTATGTAACCCAGGCTGGTCTCAAACTCCTGGCGTCAAGTGATCCTCCCACTGCAGCTTCCCAAAGTGCTGGGATTACAGGCGTAAGCTATCACACTCGATGAATATAAATTCTCCAGGTGCTTGTATATTTGAAAATGTCTCTTATTGTCCCTATTCTTGCCTTTTAGTTTGGCTGGTATAAGATTTCAGAATCGGCCGGGCGCGGTGGCTCATGCCTATAATCCCAGCACTTTGGGAGGCCGAGGCGGGTGGATCACGAGGTCAAGAGATCGAGACCATCCTGGTCAACGTGGTGAAACCCCGTCTCTACTAAAACTACAAAAAATCAGCTGGGCATGGTGGTGCATGCCTGTAATCCCAGCTACTCAGGAGGCTGAGGCAGGAGAATTGCCTGAACCCAGGAGGCGGAGGTTGCGGTGAGCCGAGATCTCGCCATTGCACTCCAGCCCAGGTAACAAGAGTGAAACTCCATCTAAAAAAAAAAAAAAAAGATTTCAGAATCAGCATTATTTTTTCTCAGTACTTTATTTCTCTCCCACTTCCAGGAAGCATTGCTTTTCCTTTCAGTTAGTGATCTGGTGTTCTCTTTATTCTTTATTTTCAGAAGTTTCATTACTATCTGCTTCAATTTGGACCTTTTATTTTTTGTTAACTTATCTTGCATTTCAATCGGTAGGTTTTTCTCATGTGAACTCTCATATTTGTCTTCACTCTACGAAAATTTTCAGGCCATATTTCTTCGAACATTGCCCTATTATTCCTCTTATTTATGTGAACCTGCATTGGCAATTCTTCTATAAACCAGGAAAATCATTCCAGGTTTATTTTGTAGTCTAGCTCTTACTCGTTCACCCAGTATAGCCATCGCTGTGGTTTGAATGTATCTTCCAAATTTCCTGTGTTGGAAATGTAATCCCTAAATTTATTTGTTGGTGGTATTCGGAGGCGGGACCTCTGGGAGGTATTTCGGATTAGATCAAGTCATCAGGGCAGGGCCCATATGATGGGATTAGTGGCTTTATAAGGGTAGGAAGAGAGACCTGAGCTGGCATGCTCCCTGCCTCTCATCATGTCAGGCCTTCCACCAAGTTACGACACGGCAGGAAGGCCCTCAGCCGATGCCAGCACCATGCCCTTGGATTTCCTGGCCTCCAGAACCTTGACCTAAATGAACATTTTTCTTTATAAATTACCCAATTTTTGGTATTCTCTTTTAAAAATAGAAGACAAAGACAGCAATCTTTTCTGTTTCTGAAATCTTTGCAGTTACTTGAATTGACCAGGTTCTACCATGTGTTCTGTGTGATGCTTCCTCTTGGTACAGGGACTGCAAATTATGTCCCAATTTATTTATTTTTTTCTTTCTTTCATAATAGATTTGCCAGTTTTTCAGTTGGGCATATACAGAAACAGACTATATTTCTGAATTTCCCTGCTGTTCCCTCCCAGCCCCCACTCTTTGCTGTTCCATAGAATGCTGATGTGATGACTAGAGCCATCTCAGACTGGATTACCCTGGAATTGGAAGCCATGTCAGGTGGAGCAGGAGATGGAAGCCCCAGACCAATTGCCTTCAGACTCCTACAAGGAGAAGGAGAAACTCTCTTGTTTGTCCCCCTGTTGTTCTCAGTTGAACCCTGTTCCAAATACCTCCTGAATTGCCCTTTCCACCCCAACTTCTTGAACACATCATGAATCTTCTAAGACTACTTGAGTGTCTGTCTTCATTTCTGTGCACGATGTACCCTGGATATGTTTTTACGAAGGACTGAGAACACCTTATTTTCTTTGCATGTATAAATGTTCATTTCCATCCACATGATAGAAAGCTTCTCGAAGACAGAACTGGATTTTATTCATCCTGAAATCTTCAGGACCCAAAAGAGAACTGGCAGATAGAAGCGCCTTGATTGACTTTTAATTCTCTCACAAAGTAAATGCTGGACCAGGCACAGGAGATAGTCTGTAGAGGAACATTGATCCTTTCCCAGCTCCTCTGCATCTTTTCCATGTCACCTGATGTAATTGCGTCTAATTGAATGGGATGTGTATTATTTCAGGGATTGTTGTCGTTCAAGGATATATCTGTGGAGTTCACCTGGGATGAGTGGCAGCTACTGGATTCCACACAGAAGTACCTGTACAGAGAGGTGGTACTGGAAAACTACCATAACCTGATCTCGGTGGGTGAGTACTGCTGCTCTGCTCAACTTAGATAGTGAGTCATAAACTGCCATCCTTTTTCATTGTTGTTGACCTACTCTGGGGCCTCTGAAGTGCTTGATGATTATGAACTTGAACTTCAGAGGTGAAATGTCCTTAGTCCCTGTTTGGCCCTCACTTTCTAGCCGTAGTCTTTCCCCAAGTGAGACGAGCAGTTTGGCTCTGTAGCTCCTGCTTCCTCGGTCCTGTCCCTGACCCTGGTCCACAACCTTTGTGATTTCCCATCAACAGGGTATCATGGTGCCAAGCCTGACTTAATCTTCAAGTTGGAACAAGGAGAAGATCCGTGGATAGTAAATGCCAAAATTTCCAGGGAGAGCTGTCCAGGTGGGTGAGTGAGAACGAGGAAGGTGGGAGGTGTGGGAGTGAACTGATGCGTCCCTGAGGAGTGGGCATTTGCAGGGTTGTCTACAGAAATGCTTCTGGAAGTCCTTGAACTAATGGGGCTGACTCAGGATGAAGCCATGAGGTCCTCAGATAAGGAAATCACCGTCACTCTTCATATATTTTGGTTTTTCTTCCCCTTCATTGTTGAGAGGGAGGCGCATCCCCTCCTTCCCATGGTCATGGGTATCATTGGGGAATCAAGACCTTCAGGGGATTTCTTTATCCTCTTACTTGGTGTGGCTCATGGCCCTCTATTTCTTTTCTTTTATTTCATCTTTAGTCTTCCGCAGTTGGATCCCCTAGAGTTTACTCACAGTCTTAAGAAACCCTGGTGTCTCCTGTGTCTTTGAGTGATTTTGCATACCTTATGCTTCCCTTTTGTGTTGTCCAAAGGCGCATTTTTTCCAAGTTTGGCTGTCCTCTCCTGTGCTGTAACTGTCGACAGGCTCTTCCATTCTGAAGCATTTTTTCCAAGTTTGGCTATCGTCTCCTATGCTGTAGCTGTCGACAGGCTCTTCCATTCTGAAGCATTTTTTCCAAGTTTGGCTGTCCTCTCCTGTGCTGTAGCTGTCGACAGGCTCTTCCATTCTGAAGGTTTAAGCTTTGCCCCCAGAGTCCGTCTTTCTTTTCGGCACTTGAGTCCTGGGTTTTACATGCTGAGGGGAGAGCTCCCCCACGCTTTCCCAGGCTTCACTTCCAGTATCGGAAGTGGGGATTTCCTTCTAAAATTACCATTCTGCCTCAGAAGAAATGGCCAGAGTCCTTCGTTTTCTTTTT